GGACCCCACAGACCCCACAGATCCCCGGACCCCACAGATCCCCACAGACCCCCGGGCCCCACAGACCCCCGGCCCCACAGATCCCCGGGCCCCACAGACCCCACAGACCCCCGGCCCCACAGACCCACAGACCCCACAGTCCCTCGGACCCCACAGACCCCCGGGCCCCCCAGACCTCCAGGCCCCGCCAGAACCCCGGGCCCCACAGACCCCCGGGTCCCACAGAACCCTGGACCTCCTGGTTCCCCGGACCCCTCAGGCTACCGGATCCCCCAGTCTCCCTGGACCCCCCAGGCTCCTGGATCCCCCAACTTGCCAACCCCCCCAACCACCGGACCCCCAGGCCCCCAGGCTCCCCAACCACCGGATCCCCAGGCCCCCAGGCTCCCCAACCACCGGATCCCCAGGCCCCCAGGCTCCCCAACCACCGGATCCCCAGGCCCCCAGGCTCCCCGACCACCGGATCCCTAGGCTCCCCGGACCCCCCAGATTCCCCAGGCTCCCTGACCACCAGATCCCCAGGCTCCCCGGACCCCCCAGATTCCCCAGGCTCCCTGAATCCCCAGGCCCCCGGACCCCCAGGCACCCTGGATCCCCCAGGACCCACCTGCCCCTTCCCAGCCTCCCCTGCCCCTTCCCCAGCAGTCGGAGGCTGGAAGCGACCCCTACTCTCCCAGACCTGTCCCCTAGCACTCCCTGGTGGCTCCTAGCCTTCCGCTCCGGTTCCTCTGGACACGCATGAGACCCAGCCACCACCCCACAGCCTATGGCCAGCTAGAGATCTGAAGGAACTCCTCACGGTCCCCGCAAGTCAGATCCCCACCTCCCTCCGTGCGTAGCCCCTGCCGGCCTGGGCACCCTGTGAAGCCCAGGCTCTGCTTCTGCCTCCCGGGTTCTGGGACTATAGGCATGTGCCACCGTGCCAGACCTCAGACCAGTCAGCCACACAGAGGACCTGGGGACAGGTTCTAGAGGGAAAAGAGAGCTGAGGAGAGTCTGGAAAGGGACCTGAAGAAAACAGCTGAGAAAAGAGCAGGTGTTAGGGAACAAGGACCCGTTACATGTGTGTGGACTCCGGGACAGCGCCAGGAGGCCGCTCCTCCGAGCCATCGGCCAGAAGAAAGGAGTCCACCGATTTGTTGCTGAGACGGAATGGCGTCAGACGGCGGAAGTTGCCGGGAGAGTGGGGGATCTGAACTCGGGCCCTCTGAGAGGGTACCACGGTCTCCCCAGGGGACAACCAGGGCGGCACCCTGGACAGGAGGCTCGGGTCCAGATCCTCATCCGGGGAGAACACCGGGTTGTCAATGCCTAGGAAAAAGGGCAGCAGCCGGTCAGCTCCGAGAAGCATCTGCAGCTGCGGGAGGAGGGGCAGACGCCAGCTGCTCGGTCGCCGTCGCCTGCGCAGGCGCTGGAGGGCCCGTCCGGCTCTCTTCTCTCTCCTGTGGCTGCTTCCAGGGCCTGCACGCAGGGCCTCACACGCAGCGCTTGCTCGGCTGGCTCTCTAACCACTTCAGCCATGCCTCTAGCCCAGCTTTTGTTATTATTTTTTTCTATCTTGGAGATAGTCTAACAAGCTTAACTGCAGGGGCGTCCTGAGTGACAGTCCTCCAGATCTCAGCTAGGATTATAGGCATGAGCCCCAGCACTGGACAGTACTGTACCTTTTAGTTTGTGGGGCCGCGCACGCCAAGCCTTCCCTCCAACCTGGGACCCCACAAACTGCAGCCAGGTTGGGCATACGTTCCTGCTCTCCACACAGAGACCCTGGCTGATCTGCCAGAAGCGCCAGCCATCTGAGCGGAGGAGGACGGCTGGGAGCCTGGCCCGGCCTCCGCTCTCACCTGCTGGGGAGTCTAAGGCCACGTCCTTCGTGACATTGGCTAGGAACTCGATTCCCCCGCTGGTTTCCTCTGCTTGGTAGTCCTGGGCCTCCTCCGGCTCTGAAAGCTCCAGCTCTGTGGGGAGGAGGTAGGAGTGAGGGTGACACGGGTCACACGCTTGCTGTGTGCCGTGGGCTTGTTCTCTACTGCTCTGACCCTGCAGTGCTGGCATCAATGGGGACGCACCCTGCCCGACCCCCACGCCCCCTATGTGTGGCTGGCCTTTTGTTGTTGGGGGGGGGGTTGAACAGGAAGAAAAGGCAGCACTGGGACTGAGGGTGGGCAGGGCGGGGGGTGGAGGGCGCTGGAGCCCCAGGCCGGGGGTCCTCTGGGGAGGGGTGCGCAGTACCTTTCTCCTGGAGGATGAAGCTGAGTGTGGGATTCTCCACCGGCAGCTTTCCATTGGGGATACTGCTGTTCCTCTGTGGACAAGAGGGGTCCTTGGAGACGCGTCCGCTCCAGGCCGGGGGCCGGGCCCAGGGGAGGGGGCCTGGGCCGTGGAGCTGCCCAAGAGGCCGTGGAGTGACCCCACCCGTGACCCCCCCACCTCACACCCCGGCGGATGACCCTGCCCATGACCCCAGCCGCACCAACAGCCTGGCCTGTTCTCTCTCCCTGACCCGTGACCCCAGCCCCCAGCACCTTACCCGCTTCTGCGCGCGCTCCCTCTTGTACAGCTTTGCTGCCTTCTTATTCTGGTTGAGGCCCAACTTGGCTGACTTGAAGGACTCCAGGCGCTTCCTCATGGTCCTGTGGAAAATCTCCTTGTCCTGCTTCTCGTCCTCACTTGGTGTGAGCTCGTGCCGACTGTAGAGGTGCTTGTACTGCAGAGGTGGCCGCAGTGGTCAGGCTGGGCGGCACAGGATCCCCGCAGGGAGGGTGGGGGGGGAGCGCGTGGGGGCGGGCTCGGGACGGACCCCATCGCCAGCCAGGCGCCCCAGCGCGTGGCCCGCCCCCCAGCCCACCTCCTGCCGGGGCTTGTACAGGTACTGCTGCAGCGTGTGGTGAGTGACCATGTCCTCGGTGTCTCGGATGCTCTTCCGCCTCTGTTCCAGGGACTGCATGTCCAAGCACACGGTGCTGACGTTCTCCCTCCTGCACAGGACCCTTGCTTAGTCCGGAGCTCCCGCCCAGGCCTGGGCCCCCGGACACTGGGCCAGCTCTCTGCTCCTCAAGGCTTTGGATTGATTCCCACAGACCCTCTGGCCTTCTCACACACCCACACCCGCTCACAGGATCCCCTCCAAAGCGTAGCTAGGAGCTCCAGCCACCTTCCATATCCCGGCCCAGAAGAGGCTGCTGTGGGTCCCTTTCCCCCATCCCTCTCCCTCCCCCCTCTCCCCTCCCTCCCCCCTTACCCCCTCCTTCCCCGTTACCCCCCTCCCTTCTTCCTGCCTAGGGTGGACTTCTTCAGGAGGAAATGTAGGCTCCGGCCCTGGGCCACCCCCATTTACAACCCCTGCTTAGAGGGACCCGCGCCCACCAGCAGGCTCCAAAGCCTCTTCCAAAACCTGTCACTGGAGACACGTACAAGAGGTAGGAGACAGAGGCCTCCACGGTGGACGGACGAGGTGTGCTGAAGTCCACGTTGACCATGTTGTCTGTGCTTGGGGAGCGAATGAAGGCCAGAGACCCTCGGCGCTCTCCCTGCAAGGAAGACACAACCTCCTGAGCAAATGGCGCCAGCGCGCAGCGCCTGCCAGGCGAAGGCTCACACCAGCCCGGGGTCCTAGCAAACAGAGACGGAGCCGGGGTGGCTGGCCCACCCCAAGCCCTTGTGTAATTGTGAACAACACCCCACTGCTCTGAGCAGGCTGAGACAAACCATGAGCTGAGAAGCCATAGCCAAGCCCCCGGGGCAACCAAGACAGAACTGCCTGGGGAGGCAGCACCCGGGCCTGAGAACCCTCCATGCACATGGCGGGCGGTGGCCTCCGGCCCAGAGCAGTCTTAGGTGAAGACAACACAGCCGGATGGGTGGGAGTCAGCCAAGGGCACGACCTTGGAGCACAGGTCATGGTGGTCTACAGCCTGAAGAGGGAAGAGAGCCAGTCCTGGCCGGTGTCCGTCCCTCTGTAACTATGTCCTCATGGCTGTCCTCCACAGTTTTCAAGATCGGACAGGCCTGTGCCTTCCTTCAGAGGAGACACTCGGGGGAAGGTCCAGGAGCTGGCTTCCCTTGACCAGGTCAGATCAGGGAGGGTGTCCTGGGGCTCCAAGAGTGCCAGGCAACATCAGGAGGAAAGCAGACGGCTCTCCAAGCCAAGGAGCATGGCTGGGGGTCTGGCCGTGTGTGGGAACAGGCACAGGGCAGGACCAGAGCTGTGGACTCACCACCCCAGGGCCCGGGAGCCATGGCTTCTGGGGTGATGGGTAAGGATACACTGGCTGGTGGGGGACCGAGAGAAAGCGCATCCCTGCCTGGCACCCACACTACAAGGAGGTCAGAGCCCAGGAGCAGCTCAGAGACCTCCAGCCCAGCCCCTTCCATCTTCCCTCGAGTCGCAGAGGTGACCAGGGCATCCAAGGCCCCCAAAAGTTGGGTCTTTCGCCTTCTGCATGATCTCTGAGGCTGAGGCCACCCTGAATGGCAGTGTCCTGGAGGACCTGTGCAGAGTTAAAACCCACAGAGCCCGGGGCTGGGAATATCTGTGGGACACACGTGGGACACAGGAGGACGGGGCACGAATGGTCACACACATGGCTTCTGTCTTCCAGGACCTGCCGTGACCTGCCCTTCACTCCTCTGACCCCACACATCCTGTTCTCCGGCCGGGGCTGAGGTGGGTGCTTGCTGAACACAGCCAGTGCCTTGCCCTTCCCCCCACTGCCAACCTGGCTCTCCAAGGTCCCACCTGGAGGTGGGACGCACGCGTGTGTGAGAGCTGTTTACTCTGTCCCTAACAGACTTGGGAGAGGCCTATTTGCCTGGGGGAGGCAGGAGATAGAGGCACCATTCTTGTGATTCCTTGGTGTGTCTGCACATCTATGTGTGCCATGTGTGAATAGGCATGTGTGTGCATGCACATGTGTATATATGTGCATTGACACATACATGTGTTTGTGCATGCATACATTATACACTGCATATGCTGACCACATGTGTGCATGCATACATATATGTTTATGAATAGATGTACACCTACACACTTGTGTGTGGTGTTTGCATGCACACACATTGCATGAATGAGTTGTATGCATGTGTGCACAGGCATAAGTGCAGGAATGAGCACATATGTGTATGCATCTGTACTGTACCCGTGTGTGTGCATGTGATTGTGCACATGTATACCCCTGTGTTTGTGTGCATGCATGAGTACACACATGTATGGCATGTGCAATTATGTGTGTGTCTACTTGTGCACACATATGTGTATGTCAGGGGCCTTGGTCCAGTACTCTCTTCCTGCTTTCCTGACCTCTCCTGTCTCTGAAGACAGGGGTTCAGAGGTCTGACGTCACACTGAGACACACCACAACCATTGCCCAAGGGAGAGTCCTGGGTCTGTGCCTGTTTCTCATGAGGGATGGGGCACTAACCCTATTTCTGGAGCACTGGAGGACATGTAGGGGCCACGCACGCAGGGGGTATGCCCCTCCCTGCCAGACCACACCCAACGTCCATGTGCCTTAGCCCTCAGTTCTCCAGCTGAAGACAAATGGAATGTTCTGGTACCTCAGCCACATAGCTAATAGCATCCTTCAGGTTCAGCTCGTGGAAAACATTTAGAATCCGATCTCGAGACTTCTGGGCTGACCTTCTCATGAGGACCTTGCTGAGGAACCTCCTGTCGAAGTTGGACCACCTGGGCAGACAGCACACAACATCGGCCAGTGCCCGACCCTGACCCCCCCCCACACACACACAGGGTGAGGGCAGACAGAGGTCCCCACAGAAGGGATGGCCCGGCAAGACCCCCCTTCCCTGCTGGGCTCTATGAACACCCTGAAGGTGCCGGCCTTCCGCTGCCCTGCCTCGTGCCCCGTTTCTTCTCCCGTCTGGCAGTGCTTATCATCTACACGCGTGCACCAAGGCAGCTGTCATCTGTGCTACATTCGGAACAAGTTTCCAGGTCAGCATCTGACCTGGACAGGTGGTGCAGGAAGGGTCTAGAGTGAAGATGCCCGTGGCCAGTGATAGCCCCAGACCACACTGCCTGGAGGCTCGGCCCGTGGCCAGTGATAGCCCCAGACCACACTGCCTGGAGGCTCGGCCCG